ATGGGCTCTGAGCCCTCGAGCTGGCCCTGCCATGTGGACGCGATCCCACGCATCTCCACGCCGAAGTCCCTGGGCTCTGGGACGGCGATGCTGGGTTCGAAGTTAAATGAAATTTAATTACGGTTTAGGGTTCTTGTTAAGGAATTTCTCGTTTAACTTATCATAGTTTAGGGTCCCTTCAAGGGTTCTATAAGGGCTTGGGGGTTAAGGAATTTAGTTTAAGTTACCATAAGAAAGAAACCATGTTTTGTTTTACTATGGATCCCGTTTTATGGTACCGTAAGCCTTAAACCCTTAAAGGAACCCTTATAGATCCCAATTATGGTAACTTAAAAACTTTCAACCCTTAAAGGAACCCTTATAGATCCCTGTTATGGCAGCTTAAACTTTCAACCCCTAAAGGAACCCTTATAGATCCCTATTATGGTAACTGAAGCTAAACTTCCATAGTAGTTCCTTTTTGGGTTTCATATATAGAATATTACAGGGTAATCCCAAAAAGGAACTATTTTCGGGCCTTGGGGTAATTCCTTACTTGGAAGGGCAGGGGACTTAGTAAGTAGGTGATAAGTAGAGTTATACCCCCCTACTTATAATCTACTTACTAAGTCCCCTGCCCCTCCAAGTAACAAGAGCCCAGGATGTTGCTGAACAGCGAGGCTCTGGCCGTCGGCGGCCCGAGCCCCGGTGCGGTGGAGTGGCTCCACCACCAAGGCCGACCGACAGAAGCTCTCAGTACTTTAGGGGTTTAGGGTTTAGGGGTTTGGGTTTAAGGGTATGGGGGGTTAGGGGTTTAGGGTGTAGGGTTAGGGCTAGGGGTTCAGGGGTTTGGGGGTTTAGGGGTTTAGGATTAAGGGTTTAGGGTTAGGGGTTTAGGGGTTTGGGGGTTTAGGGGTTTAGGGTTAAGGGGTTAGGGGTCTAGGGGTTTGGGGGTTTAGGGGTTTGGGGGTTTAGGGGTTTAGGGGAAGTGGCTCCACCACCAAGGCCCCGGATTCTGATTTTTCGTCGGATCTTAACTGATTTGAAAGTGCAAGTGCAATGACTATTGTCTATATATACAAAAGTATACATATACATATAGTATTTCTTCACCGGGTTAAATTCGCAAATCTCCATATTTGTATATGCCTGTGTGTTCGAAACAAAAGAGCTGCACACGATCCTAAACCCTAAACCCTAAACCTGAAGAGGCTGCTTCAACTACGCAGCCCCCACGGAGCAAGTGGAAGCCTTGGTGGAGCAGGCGTTCCGGATCTGCCGCTACTTTGTCATCGTTGGGTAGCATGTTAATTGATCTTTAGGGTTCTTTTAAAGGGATCTATAGGGTTCCTTAAAAGGGATTTATAGGGTTGGGTAGCATTTTACATCTTTATGGCTACTTAAACCTAATAAGGAGTATTTTATTCCTATCTCAACAATGAACTAGGCTACGACGCCCACTGCGCCACCAGGGAGCTGCAGAAGGAAAGCGACGGACCGCAGTACAAATCTGTAGAGTGCGGTTCTAAAGAGTACTTTTGTAGAACTGGTGGTAGTAGTGGTGGTAGTGTAGTAGTAGTAGTAGTAGTAGTAGTAGTAGTAGTAGTAGAAGTAGAAGTAGAAGTAGAAGTAGAAGTAGAAGTAGAAGTGGAAGTGGAAGTAGAAGTAGAAGTAGAAGTAGAAGTAGAAGTAGAAGTGGAAGTAGAAGTAGAAGTAGAAGTAGAAGTAGAAGTAGTAGAACTAGTAGTCGTGGTAGTAGTAGTAGTAGTAGTAGTAGTAGTAGTAGTAGTAGTAGTAGTAGTAGTAGTAGTAGTAGTAGTAGTGGTAGTAGTAGTAGTAGTAGTAGTAGTAGTAGTAGTAGTAGTAGTAGTAGTAGTAGTAGTAGTACTAGTACTAGTAGTAGTAGTAGTAGTAGTAGTAGTAGTAGTAGTAGTAGTAGTAGTAGTAGTAGTAGTAGTAGTGGTAGTGGTGGTGGTGGTGGTGGTGGGCGCCTCCTCTCCGTCTCCCCAGCTTGTCGCGTGCAGCGCCGTGGTGGTGGTAGTAGCAGCCGTAGCCGTTGCAGTACTCTTCTGGTACCCTTACAAGCCTTGCAGTGAACCGGGCCCTATCTAAATCCTTATACTGGCCCTTGTAGTAACCCTTATAGACCCTTAAAGGAACCCCATTCTAGTCACGAAGGCCCCTTTTTTGGTAGGGCCCCCTGTTGCGAAGGAGCTGGCGTGAAGGCCTTGCGGCAGCGGGCTGAGGTTGAGGAGCTCCTGGGCTGGTGGTGCCGCCGTGCTTGGGAGGACCGGAGGTTTAGGGTTTAGGGGCTTAGGGTTTGGGAGTTTAGGGGTTTAGGGGTTTAGGGTTTGGGGAATTTAGGGTTCAGTTTTTGGGTTTAGGGGTTTAGAGGTTTTGGGTTTGAAGCTTTACGGGTTTAGGGTGTGCGGTTTAGGTGCTTGGGAGGACCGCAGGACCAAGGAAGCGGCCGAGGCCGTGAAAAAAGGTGGCGAGAAGCTGGAAAGAGCTCAGGCGCTATCCTCCTTCTGCCGTTCCTTGGAAGGGTAGGGGACTTAGTAAGGGCTCTTAGTAAGGGCTCCCTAAAGGGATCTATAGGGTTCCTTAAAGGGATCTATGGGGTTTAGGCTTTAGGGTCTGCTTGGAGGGGCAGGGCACTTAGTAAGTAAGTGATAAGTAGAGTTATAAGTATCTTAAATGGAGTTACCCCAATTATGACCCTACTTATAATCTACTTACTAAGTCCCCTGCCCCTCCAAGTACTGGGTAGGCCTTTGGGACCTTTTTTATTTTCCCATATTGGGCTTAATAGGACCCCATTTACGAAAAATTTTCCAGAGGCTTTAAAGGGCCAACCTAGGTTTTCAGACCACGGCCAGGAAGGCGGCACGCCAAGCGTGTCAAGTTTCGGGGGGTCAGCAGGACTTGCTCCGGGACTGGCAGCGCTGCCGCCAGAGCCGGGCGAGGCCCAAAGAGACCGCGAGACGCCTTCACGAAGCTAGGTATTGTATAAAGAAGTTCAATGTAATTTAAGTTACCATAAGGAAGAAGCCATGTTATTAACTAAAGATCCCTTTTTTATTGTGGTAATTTAAATTAGATTCCTTAGCAAGAACCAAGGAAGGAGACAGGGCTCTGGACCCCTTTGGGACACTGGCCCGCGAAGACTGCTGTGGGGATCCACGTTGCTTGGCCTCTCTCTGGGACTTCCAGAATCCGCAAAGAGGCAAGGATTCCTAGTCTTGCTCGTACACGCTATGTTACTCTAGCCTTCGATTCGAAGACCGTGAGACACTCGCCAGCTGAGCTGGTCCGGTGCCGCAGCCGCAAAATCTCGCGGAGGCTGCTGGGGGGACACATCGCAGAATTGTCCGAATGATGGGGCGGCAAGAGAGCTGATGCATCCCTGCGGATTTGCACGGCCTGTGTGAAAAGATTGGGCATATGGGAGTCTCCGAAAACTAGGGGAACATTGTTTTGGGGTCCTTATAGTAAGGATCCTACTCTTTAGGGTACTATATCAGGGTCCCGTATTTTGGGAAACTCCCATATGGTTTGGAGTTCAGGCTTCGTGGATTCGCCATGCAGGCCTTCGAGGTCAGCTTTTGAAGCCTTCGACGCGGAAACACTTCCAGAGGCTTCAAACAGGAGTCCGCACCGATCGTGAACCACCAGAATCTGCATGGAAGCCTGAATCCTAGGACCTGGGAACAGCCGCTCCCAAACCCCGACACCCGAAACCCAAACCCTCAAATGCTCCTGGACCTCTCAAGAATCTTTAGCTTCAAGTACGCTAAACCCCAGATGCCCTGAAACTCAAATGCCCCAGAACCCCCAAAGAGACCCTTGCACTTGCAACTTGCCGAGCCCCGACTGTCACCCAGGCCATGGCGTCGCAGCAGATGAGGCCGTGCGATGGCTGCTGGAGACAGCCGAGGCATTGGGTTTCGGGTTCCCAGAGACTCCAATATCATCTTTTACTTAAAGAATACTCCTTAAATTGTAGCAGGATCCCTAATATGATTTTAGGAATCTTCCCTTATTAAGGGATATTGGAGTCTCTGGGTTGCGGGTTTGTAAGCGTTGGGGTTCAGGTGTAGGGTTTCAGGCTTCAGGTTTAGGGTCTAGGCTGCAAGTTAGGGGTTTCGAGTTTAGAGTTCCAGGTTTAGGGTTTGGGCCTCAGGTTTAGGGTTCGAGGCGATGTTGACGATTTCAGGTGTAGGGTTTTGGTTTCAAGCTGTAGGGCTTGGGGTTCAAGGATAAAGGCTAAGGGCTGCCAGGGTTTAGGACTTGGGGTTCGAGTCCATGGGCGGTGACTTAGGGCTTTTGGGTTCTAGAGTGTTTGAAGCGGTTTTGATTATACTTATCTTGCCCTTACATCAGCATGGGTTTAGGGGGCTTAAGAGTTTAACGTAACTTCTCAGGTGACGGTGCGCCGCCTCCTCCTGACTGGGCAGCCAGGCGCCAAGTGGACTCGGCCGCCTCTCGGCGAAGACCAGACGAGTAGTAATGTAGGGGCTTGAATACCTATATTATTTTTGGGGCTCCTTTTTATTATTATAGTATAGTATACCCCAAACCCTGTTCTAAGTATTAAGGCCCCTACATTATGACTTGGTTACCGCCCCACCCTGCAAGAGTCTATGGAATTACTAAGGCTTCATCAAATCATGTTGTAAATATGATCTAAATGTTACAAACTGTGGGCGGCACCCAGAGTACGACCTTAAATCTAGGGTTGGCGCTTAGGGCTTAGGGTCATCTCGCGACTCGGATCTTGGGCGGCAGTTCCTGTGACTCCAATCCCGAGAGCCTGAATCCAAAAAGCCTGGGCCAAGATGCTTTTAGGGTTTTGGTGGGTTTGGGGGGGATTTTCCGCTTCTCGGGTTTGGGGGCCTTGCCATAGATACTCTAGAAGCATCTTCCTTCTGCGTACAGGTTGCACGATCCTACCCTAGATCGCAGGCTGTTAAAGCGGCCCAGCCATGCCAGAATCACTAAAACGCTAAACCCTAAACTTTAGGGTTTAGGGTTTCCCCCCTCAAAACATCCACCCGGAACCGCGTGACCGAAGCCCTGTGTGAACCCTTAGCCCTTGAGCCTCCCAGCCTCAAGCGCGAAGCTTTGCCAGCCCTGTACTTAGTAATCGCATCTCGTATCGAAGGGCTGTACTATAGAGGCCGCAATAATTACCAACATTATTCCTGAGGGTTCCTTACTATAACTCTACTATGAAGGAGCTGAGGACTCCCGATTCTAATTATTAAGGCCCCTACATTAAATACATATTCCAAACTCCAGGCAGCTTTGGCGTGCCGTTCGGCATCTCACAGAGGGGACTGGGCTGCCCGTACCCTACGATGCGGCTGGGCAATAGATCTGTGTCAGCGAGACTTCGATGGTTTTGTGTACACCGTTCTTGGAGTTATCCTACTGATAGAGGTTTCGAGGTTCAGGAATTTCCAGGGTATGGTTCAGGACAACGTTTGCAGCCCTGGATCTTAAACCCTAAACCATGGGCCACAGGCCACCCTTCAGCACTCACATCCTTATTCTCTTCAGAGCCTTGAAGTGCTGGATGGCCCTGAGCAACTGGGAGCTAGTAGCGCCCATTCATGCTCCCTATATGAGTGTACAGAACATAAGATTTACTTCAACAGTTTTTTATTCTCCTGACTAAGGCTAAGGCCCCTATAGTACAAGATCCATAGCGGCCTAGTGGGTTTAGTTAGGGTTTAGGGTTGGGAGTTTGCGGTTGAAGGCGTGATGCAGGGGTTTAGATGAGTTTCGACAGCCCGAAAGCCCCCAGGCTACACGGAAGCCCTAAGCCCTAAACCCTAAACCCTAAACTCTAAACCCCAAACCCTAAACTCTAAACCTTAGACCCTAAACCCTAAACCCGACCCTCAACTCCCGACAAGTCCGACCTTGACAGGCTCCAGACCCACAAACCTTTCAATGGCCCTAAGTCGGTATCAGTGCATTTGGATCCCAAATCCAAAACCTGTGCCCTAAACCCGTCATTCTAGCAACCCTACCCTCTGAAGCAACCCTAAACCTTAAACCCTAAACCCTAAACCCACACTAGGAACTCCCATGCCTATCGAACCCCCATATAGAACCATACAGAGTCCTCATTCACAGAATCCCGGACTCCTAGGTGATCCTCTGGAACGTCTTTCGTGGAGACGAGGGAGCCCTCCGCTCTATGAAGGAGTCCAACCTCATTGCCATCAACCCGAGGACTTTCGGAGAAAGCCGGGCTTAACATCGGGGCCTAAATAATTTCCAACACTGTTTTGGGGCTCCACGTTTTAAGTATATCATAATGGGCCTCAAAAGCCCTACTCTAATTATTAAGTCCCCAATGCTAGGGCTCCATGAGATGTCGATGACGGTTTTTGTCTGCTTTCTATTGGCGGTTTCTACCAAGGGTTTCTGCTTCCATACAGGGTTTCTAAGCTTTAGGGCTCAGGGTTCTATGAGGGCTCTCGCACGGTTTCTGCAAGGATTTTTCGAATTGTTCGAAAATTAGGAGGTGCGGGCTTTAGGGCCCTAAACCCTAAACCCCTACAACCCTTCTCAGCATATTGCTTTAATTTTTCATTTATCATCAGTCTTCTTATTTAGTATTACTGCGGTTATTTCTGCTAGTAGGTCTAACATCGTTGTTATGATCAGTGTCAGAGTTATGGTTATTGGTATTGGTACTGTTATTGTCATTGTCTTTGTCTTTCTCTGGCCTGTTCGTGATTTGCAGAGGTCGGTCATACGGTCTGTAAGACGCTCTGAACCCTAAACTAAGTCCTAAGCCTCCCGAGGCACTCAAAAGCTGCTGGGACCCATCTCCTCGACCCTAGGGCGTTTCAGCAAGTAGAAACCCGGTCCCTAAACCCTAAACCTTACCTCCTAAACCCTAAACCCTAAACCCGAGGGCTCCTGGGCAGGAAGAGCGAAAGCTCTTGGACGTTGCGCTACGATGTGGAAGCCGGCTCGCCACTTTACGCTGAGGCCGCTCACTTTTGTCTACTGGCCTTAGTGCAAAACCCAAAGAATCCCAAAGAGACGTCCGTATTGCTACTCGCCCAGCACTTCTACTGTTCAGGGTTTTCGGATGTTTTCGCGATTTCTTCCCTTGAGCGGAAGATTCTCAAAGAGGCCTGCACCACGTTGGGGGTTGCTTGTGGCTCAGGGTATGGAGCTTAGGCGCTCTTATGGAATCAGGATCGCCCAATGTGACGTGGAGCCCCTTTACAGGGAAACCCAGGTCAATGTTAAGTTGGCATCCTCTTGGCCAGGAAATGTCTGAATCCCGCCAGTATCTGGGGGGAAACTTTTGGTCATGGAGTCATGCTCCTGCATCCCATCGGTTTTTGCCCAGAAGCATTTGCGCCGTAGTCCTGAAGCCAGAGGCGGGAGCGTGGTGGTCGGTTCCCGAATCTACCCGTGCAGTACACGTCGGGAAGCATGGTTGTTTTTGAAGCAACATGTTTTGTTACTGTAACTTTACAACAAACCATGCCTGTGACATGGGGGGTCGCATTTTGGCCAGGGTGTCTTGGTAGTGTCCTGGTGGTCTCCTGATTGCCTTTGGGTGGTCTCTGGGGGTTTTCTGGGTGGTCTCTTGTATGTCTGGCGGCCTCCTGGTATTCTGCCCGATCTTCCTGTGGTCGTGGTCGTACTTGTCGCAGTGGCCGTCGTGGTGCTTTCTCACTTTCACTCTTTGGGGATCTACGCCATCCGCTGGCTTCATGAAGTTCAGAGCACCTCAAACCCCAAACCGCTGCAAACCGCCCCACATCGAACCGGTTTCAGAACTGACCCCTGATAGAATCCGCGTAGAGTCGTAGAATTCATAGGACCCTTTGGATGCCCTTCAATCTCTAAAGGTCTTTCGACGGCTGGTCCAGAACGAGGGTCTGGCTGCTGTCCTTGATCTCGAGGCTCTCTTGGTAAGGATGCTTCGAACTATTGCAGTAATTGTGGGCTCTAGAGGGGAACTTTTGAACTAGTATCTTACCTTTGGTTAGTAGGGAATGGAAGAATGGTAGTAATAGTAGTTATAACTATACCCCATTCCTCCATTCCCTACTAACCAAAGGTAAGGTATTGGGGGCTTTGTGGCTTTGTGGTTGAGGCTTGGGGTTTAAGGGTTTAGGGGAGCGATGTATTTGCTTGAGGCTCCTTCCATCCTTTGATGATTGCTTTTCGGAATTCAAGGTTGTTTGTGAGGTCTGGGCCTCTCTATTCAACGCCTCTCAGGACTTGCGAGGTATTTGGGAGTTTCCGAGAATAAGGGACCCTAATATAGGACCCTAAATAGTAGGATCCCTATTATGAGGGCCCCAAAGTAGGGTACCCCTAATTTTCGGAAACTCCCATTTCTGTTGGCAACGAGAAGCCTGTGAAAAGCTCGGCTCATGTGGATGTCCTCCTACGGAAGCTGATTTCACCTTTTGTCCTTCAGCAGTCGCAAGCAGTGTTCACGCCCACAACTCAGAGCTATACCCTAAAGCCTAAACCCTAAGCGACCCTAAACTAACAACCCCTCCCAACCGTCCAAACTCGCGCTTCGTCAGTTTGGGCTTCTGCGCAGCTTTCAGCTGTTGGATGGATCCGTAAATCCTTCAAAAGCAACAAGGGATCTGAAGATAGAGCCTAACTAGTCGAATCCTCCTCAACCCTAATTAAAGGCTCATGGGACTTAGTAAGTAGGTTATAAATAGGTTATAATTAGGATAACCCCACTTAGGGGACTTATAACCCCAATTATGACCTATTTACTAAGTCCCATGATCCCGTAAGTAAACCCAACCCTAAACCCTGAGCCCTAAACCCTAAACCGGAAACCCTAAACCCTAAACCCCACAAACCAGAGCCAGGTTGCGAAGGAGGATGTCGCTCGCGAGCAGAAGAGCATGGATGCCTACGAGGCTCTCCAACTGCACCTTGGGGGGTTCATAGGGTTTAGGGTTCCTCTAAAGGGATCTATAAAGGGGCTCTTGAACGGGATCTATACGAGATCTTTAAGCTACCATAACAGGGATGTATAGTAAATGACGTAGTTTCCTGATCATGGCAACTTGTTTCCCTGCGTGGCTTTTGGGAGAGCGCTAAACCCATAACTTCCTGAACCCTGTCAAATCGTGCATGGCTGTTGGGAGAACGCTAAGCCCGCAACCATCTATAGAGATTCGATGCCATACTGCCGCAACAACACCCAACACCTACATCCATGTGAGCGGTTGTCAAAAACATGGTCCCTTCTTGGGTCCCTATCATAGTACGGCACCTATTATCTAGGGTACCCAATTGGGGATCATAATTTTGACAACCACCCATGTTTCCGTCGAAGAACTCTCGATCTGTTCCATTGTGCACCCTGTGCTAGATCTTCGTGAGAGAGGACACCAGGTGGCCCAGTGACGACCTGCCTGTAGTGACAACTGCACGTCTCATTCCTCAAACTCTCAGACTTCGAAGGATGTGTGGGTTTAGGTCCTACCTGGACCCTAAAGAACCTACCTTTTTTGGCTTCCCTTTTATGATTTCCTGATACAGGTCCTTGAAAAGGTCGGTTATTTGGGGTCAAGGTAGCTTTTATGGTTTGAGTGTCTAAATTTAAAGCTTGGACCTTCAGCTCATGGAGGCTCGGGATTCTCGGTACACCTTAGCAGAAGCCCCAAATAATATCCACATGTTATTCGTTAGGGGTTTCTTATAGATAGCTTTGGTACTTTATGCCCCAAAGCCCAATTTCAAATATTGAGGCCCTTTACAGTTTGGGCTTCTGATTTTGAGGCGGAGCTGGTGAAGATTGAAGAGATCCTCGACGCTCGTCGAGACTGGTGGTGGCTTCGGCCGAGCACGGATTCAAAGCTGGAGAAGAGGTGCAGCGTTCCCGGAGAGTCCAAGCCAAAGCCCCGCTAGAACCCTAAATGCTAAACCCTAAACTCTAACCAAAGGGTATTGGACTCTCAGGAAGTGGGTCGTTTTGGCACGTGTTTAGAGGTGCGGGATTTGCATGGATTTGGTCTTTCAAGGTTCCGGGTTTCTGCGCTTTCGGTTTGGTGTGTGTGTGTGTGTGTGAATGCCTTGGGGTTTCTGGGTTGAAGTCTTTGAGGTTGCACAGTTTCTACCTTTTCAGCTCTGCTGAGGGTTGAAGGGTCGAAGGCTTCAGCACTTCGGGGTTTGGGGCTCTACAGGCTTCAGAGTTTTCGTTTTAGGGTTAGATCCTATGAGCTGTGGTTTCAATTTTTGCATGGCTTTCCCGTTAGCAGGCGCGAGCAGCTTGTGGATCTCATCATGGAGCAGCACAAGAAGCTCGAGAAGTATCACAAAGCGCGCCGGAAGGCCCGAGCCAGTCGAGCTTTTGGGTAGAAAACGCCTCGCGTGCACTCCTAAACTCCCTAAACCCTTCAAATCCAAGTCCCCAAATGCTTCTTTCACCAGCCGCGAGACCGATTTTGAGGGTGCCGGGTTCAGGGTTCGGCTTGCCTTCAGCCCCAAACCCAAGGCTGTCGGGATTCAAGAACTTTAACCCGAGGCTCTCAAGCCTCACCCCAACCCGCCTTGTCGAACTGAAGCTTGGCAGGCCTCAAGATTCAGACCATCTTCAATCTCCGGAAGCCTTCACATTGAACCCTTAGCTTCAAAAAGCCCTCAGCCCTAAGCCCCTAAACCGTAAACCACTAAATCTCTACCCCCCCTCCATCCAAAAACACCGAAACCCCTCAACCCCTAAAGCCCAAGCCCTGAACCTTAACGTCCTGCAGGCCATGTCCATCCTCGGCCAACATGCTGATCGCTTCCGAGAGCAAGCCAAAAAGAGACCCTGAGGGATGCAACGCGCTGCTTATAGGATAGAATAGGGTTTTGGGGCCCCCCTTATACTATATTTATGATAAGGAGCCTTATTTAGGCCCCTACTTAAAGGATCATGGGACTTAATTAGTAAGTGGGGTTACAAGTAAGGTAAGTGCAGTTATAATTGCCCATAATCCCAAGTAAAGTACTTAATAAGCCTTCTTACTAAGTCCCATGATCCTCCCAGTGGTTCTGCTTATGGTTTAGGGTTCAGGGGTTTATGCAGGGTTTAGGGGCTTAGGGTGCGAGGGTCTAAGTTAGGGCTGAGTGGTTTTAATGGGGTTTAGGGGTTCAGGGGTATTGTGTTTCGGAACGATTTCAGTTTTAGGGCTTGTTGCTGCGGATGTCGTAGGGTCTCATCCAAAGTTTCGTTAGACGGCTGGTGGCGCAACATTGATGCGCCAGCCGAATCGCGACCGAATCTCCGAAGGCAGCGGTTCTTCGGAGGTTCGGGTGTAGGGTCCTGCTATAGGAGCCTTAATAAGGGGGTTCCTTATAAGTAGAGTACAGTGGGTCCCCAAACCCTATTCTATTTATTAAGTCCCCTATATTATCAGGCCAAGGAGCATATGGACAAATCGTAGTAGTAGGAAGGCTCAGCAAGGAACGCATATCATACTGTTGTGGTTACGTCTGGTAAGTTGACTTAGGTTCCTTACAAGGAGCCCTGGTTCTTTAGCAAAGTCATGCCTGGGACAGCTCAAGGTTTAGGCTGTGAAAGCCTTTGGCCAACCAGGGCCCTGAAGCCTAACACGAGAAGCCCCAGACCCAAAGTATCATACCAAACCCGGAACCCTAAACCCTAAAAAAACCCTAAACTACCCTAAACCCTAAAACCCTAAACCCCGAACCTGAACCCCTAAACCCCGAACCCTAAACCCCTAAGCGCCGAGCCTTTGAGCATCGGGGGAGCCCAGCTGGAGACTGCCTTTACCTTGGGCTAGAGCTTAGGGATTACTGACTCGGGGTTCCTTTAAGCGATCCTTTAGGGGCTCCTTTAAGGGATCCACAGGGACCCGGGGTTTAGGAACTCAGGGTTTAGGGTTCAGGGTTTAGGGTTTCGAGACTTAGGTACACTCCTCATAACTGGCACTAAAGCTTTGCCATACAGTGAAGAACTTGATCATGGTAGCTAGGTTGATGATGGATCCCACTTTCTGCGGAGTTTCTTGCTGCCGGCGTGCTTGTCTCTGCAGGTACCCTAGACCCCCTTATAATGAGTCTTTTTGCGCATGGAATGTTTCATATTTTAGCATGGTAGGCACACCCGGCGCAAACTTCATAAAGCATCTTCAGCGAGAACTCGACAGCCTCGTCCTCCCGTCAACCCAGACCCTCAACCCCGCAACCTTGCGGTTCACGGTTTGGCATCTACAACCCAAGCCCGCAACATGAGAGACGACTTGGAACAGTGAACAAAGACTTGTGGGCATGAACGCCGCGTGGCCTGGTCGCCTCGTGAAGGCATCGTTGGGTGCTCTAAGAGCATCAGCAGACTGCGGCAGCGGGTTTAGGATCAATCGGGTCAATCTCTAAAGCCACAAACCCCCAACCGCAAACCCTAAACGGCCCTAAACCCTCAACCCCGCAAACCTAAACCCCAAACCCCAAGCCCCCAAGTCTAGAAACACACTCCCTGAAAAGCCGCATGTTAAAGGGACTGGAAGTTGCTGCAGGGTTTTCGATCGTTAAGCAAAGGGGGTTTGAGTTTTCGTTTAGGGTTTATGGTTCAGGTTTTAGAGCGTTTAATCCCTTCCCCCTAATATTAAACGCCCCCCCCCCCCCCCCCCCCCCCTAATATAAAAACTGGATTCCGGAGGTTTAGTTTTTATATTAGGGGGGGTTTCGGGTCCTGCGGGTATGAGTCGGAGTGACAGCAATTAATTAGTAATGAGGCAGCCAGACAGTCAGACAGCTAGAGCCCGAAAGCTCTAAGCCATAAACAGCCCTAAAGCTTTAGCCCTGAGCCCTAAACCCTTAAACCCTAAAGCTCTCGTGTCTCTTTAATTAGTACTGCTGTAATTAATCTTTGCCTCTATAATTAAAGCACTGAGCCCTAAACCCTTAAACCCTAAAGCTCTGGTGTCTTTAGTATTACGGTAGTCTTCCTTCAATTAAAACACATACAGATCTGCCACCCCCCTAATGTGGCACCCTTTAAATTGAATGCGGGGCCCGAACCCGCGAAATTCCGGGGGCCGGCAGTTTTTATATTAGGGGGGGGTTTAATGTTAGGGGGAAGCGATTACAGGGTTGAGAGTTCAGTGTTCGGACCGGAGGTTGGGTTTAGAGTTTAGGCTTTAGGGTTTAGAGTTTAGGGTTTAGGTGCAATAAGGATGGAGGTGTCTGAGATCCGAAGCCCACTTGCTGCCATGAACAGCTGGCCCAGATCAGGTCATCGGTTTGGACGGAAAAGTGAATTCTGGAAACTGCACTAACCTGCAGGATGTTGTTGGTGATGCCGGCATTAATGTTTCTGGTGATGCACATACCCTTAAACCCTAATCCCTAAAGGATGCGGCTTGTTGCTGCTGATATTATGTTGGTGGTGTTGTGATTGCATGGAGTGGTGGTGATGGGTGCGGCAATCACTCCGCTTGATGTAGGCATGTCTATTGTCCTTCGTTTGTTTTGGCATTGGAGTGGCATTGGCCAGGCAAATGCAGGCCCAGCCCGAACCCGCGACCCATTAGGGTTTAGGGTTTAGGGTTTAGGGTTTAGGGTTTAGGGTTTAGGGTTTAGGGTTTAAGGTTTTTAGGGTTTAGGGTTCAACCTGTCACTCTGAAACCTGAACTCCAGGCCTCCAGCTGAGCCTTGAGCCCTGGCACTTAAACAGTGGAAGCCAGACCGCAGCGCCTTCCCCTCAAGCCGGAGTTGTACGTGAATTGTCGGATTGATGTGATGAGGCCTAGAGAGATTTAGGGGTTTAGGATTTAGGCATTGCTGCGACAAGGTCGTACAACTTGCGGACGTCCTGCAGCCAGAAGGCGGGGCAAATACAGCTACCGTGGGGTTCATTCCTAGATAGGGCTTGCTACCTTAATCCCTAAACCTAAACCCTAAATCTTAAACCCCAAACCCTAAATCTTAAACCCTAAACCCAAAGCACGGTTCCTAGATAGGGCTCGCTATGGGTAGGCGCCACCTCCCAAACCAAAGCGCCTTGGACCTCCTTTTCTCCGAGCTCCCCCATCCACCCTCAACAAAACGGGAGCTTCCGAAAACAGGTGACCCTAGGGTTCTTTTAAAGGGCTACTGTCAGGGTACTATAAGGGGTCCTTTAAACGGCTCTATAAGGGTTCATATTGGGAGTTTCCGAAAATAGGGGACCCTAATATAGTACCCTGAATAGTAGGATCCTTATGACAAGGACCCCAAAGTAAGGTACACACTATTTTCGGAAACTCCCAAATCCATCCCGCACAGTGGCCCCCTACATCGAATCACAGAGTTGGGCTCTATCATGAAAGCCATCAGCCCACCCTTGCCGCCGAACTCAGGTTCGACCCCAATGCAACTTGGGTTTAGGATTATGAAGTTCATATGCTAATAACAATAGGATTCCTGGAATACACAAAAATAGAAATAAACTTTAGGATGTCGTGTTAAAGGTTTGGGATTTCGGGTGTAAATCTTGAGGCTTCGGATTTGGGCAGCTTGGGAGACAACATTAAAGAGCCTTCGCCTCCCTGCTTGCGCTCCTCCACTCCGAGCCCTAAAGTCCAAACCCCAAGCGGCAAATCCATAAACCCTAAACCCAAGAGTGCAGATTGAAAAAGGGCCCTTAAAAAACAACAAAACAAACTAAACCCCAAACCCCACACTGACTTGAAGAGCTCCCGCTTCTGCTTCTTTGAGCCACCAAGAAAGCGCCACGAAGAGGACACAGCTCGTCCTGTTTGGCGGGGTGCCGGGCCGGTGCGGCAGGCTTGGGGAGTCTTTTTTGTCCGGGATTTCGGTTTAAGATTCACTCGGTTGGGTGTGTGTGGAGGATGTATGGGTTGTCGGCAGGGTGAAGCCGGAAGCCGGGCCCCGTCTGCCCTAAACTTTAGACTCCCAGGCAGACAGCACTTGAAGGTTCATGGGTGGCTTTAAGCACTTTGATTGGGGCTTCTCTGATTTGGTTTATGGTTTAGGGTTTAGGTTTATTTATCTGTATGCATGCACCGTCAAGCAGTTGGAACTTCATGTGCAGTGCAGCGTATCCCTTTTCCAGGAAGAGCCAATCTTGGCTATCCTTTCTCTGGTAAAGACCCTACTACTGAGCTTCGCCTTTGAGTTCTTTCACATCGGTAGGTCTACCAATTACGGTTCGTTTTCAGGCCTCTAAGATAGCACGGCATCTTCTAAGAAGGACCCTAAAACGGACCATAATTTGGCACGCATAGTCAGGTGATGGTCGATGATGGAGTTCAGTGCTTACGACTCAAGACCCTTCCGCCATAAAACGTTTAGGGCGCACAGGAATGATTGTCTTACCTTTGGTTAGCAGGGAAGCAGGGACTGGAAGAATGGTAGTAGCAGTTAGAATTGTACCCCATTCCTCCATTCCCTACTAACCAAAGGTAAGTTGTTTGGGGTTCCAAGTTCCAAGCCCCGCAACCCCTAACATGCAACCCTAGCGCTAGAGACTTTAACCCGAGAAGGCTAGTATAGGGGCCAAGAAAATTCCTTCAGGGTTCCTGCATATCTTTCTATATATGTGTATCTGCACACATTAAACAAGATCATGCTAAACCCTGAACCCTAAACCCTCTGCAGGCTCGAAAAGGGGCCCTCAAAAAAACTGAACCCCCCTTCTTCATAAAGCCCTGAACCCTAAACCGTAAACCTCAAAAAACAATAAACTACCCTATTCAAACCCTAACAGTCAAAACCATAAAGCCTCCTAAATCTTACACAGCAAAAAGCCAGCACCCCAGACCCAGAACCGTGAAAACAAGAACACTTTATGGGAGTTTCCGACAATAGG